CAACCTTATTGAAGATCATCTTATTCTAACTGGAATATTTCTTCATTTTCAATGCCAATAGAAAAGGATTACAGTAATACCTCGACTTACGTTACCCCGACGTACGCGAACCCGGAGTTACGCAATTTTCAAATCTCGTCAATTCGTCTTTTGTTTGAGCGCCACGCAACTCTCGATTACACACTCCCCCAAACTATTATTCAGCTTACATGTTTGGACGTGTCGTGCGAGGAATCGACACATAGCTACAATTTATTTTGTGTTATTTATTTCTGTGTTTGTTATATCTACAAAGACTTGAGAGACTGTGTGGTGATTTCTTGTAACCATGAACGAATCAAAAGACGAGATAAGATTAACAAGAACATTTATTAGCTTACATACATCCGACTTGGATTTTACACAAATTGCGAAATTATACTCCGACTTACGCGAATTCGACTTACGCGGTTATCACTTGGTCCCACCTATCTCGTAAGTTCGGGGTATTACTGTACTAAAGTTTTTCATTTATAGTTTATCAATGATAAAAATCTTTCTTCAAATTTATTTTATAAGTTTACTAGTGAGTGAATATTTTTTTTCAAACTTTGTTGGCTTTTTGCCTAGTTGATAACTTCAAAATGAACAAAATTCTTATTAACCAATTGATTTTTAGCTGATTCAACTTTTTAACAAATGCTTGAATGTTTTCAAATTGCTGATTAGTAAGCAGGTTTTTCCTAGGCAGTTTCAAATTTGTTGGCAAGATTTCTTTTTGCTTACAAAGTCTAAATTATTTATTCATTCAGATTCACGAAAAGCAAGAAAAAGGATTTACTTATTTAGAAGCAAATCCTTTTAGTACTTTAGTTCTAGAAGTGAATCAGAATCATTCTAATATTGCCATTCTACTGAGTCAATAAATTTGATTACAATAAATTACATCATGTTCTAAAGGAAAATTTTTGAAATGTCAATAGTTGAGGATTAGTTTGATGAAATAAAGCAATGCAACACAAGGGAAGGTGCCTCTCACTAGAGAACTTTCTATGGCAATTTTGCTACTATTTAGGTGTTACACACACGAATAAAATCTTGAATATGCCACATCTCTAGCCTATTGGTCAGGCACAAGCTTTGAACCAACAACTACTAGTGTTCAGTGGTTTTATTCATCCAGCCACTGGTAGGCAGTCAATGGCCTTGTTCATCATATGAAAATTATAATTTCAATAACTTATTAAAATGAAACATATTTTTGAAAACAGTTGCTACTGGTGAATTACTCTGTTTAATTTCATGTGAAACTTTACTTCATTATTGAAACATTTAATATATCAATATACATAGGTAATATAATTTTATTTCTTTATCAGGCAAATATTAACAGATATTTTGTTATTTTGAAATATATAATAAATTTGTGAGGCAACATTAATAATTAGATATATAAATATATTTACATTAAATAACTTTCTAATTGAAAGGAAAGGAAAAAGATATTAATCAAATTATGATAAAAATAAACATAATGCTTATGATGCTAAAGCCTATAATGAAGATTATAAACTGATTACTTTTGTCATAGTTTAATTCTATATATCACAAATCAGCATTTCCTTCAAAACATTTCGGAAATCTAAAATTATTTAAGTAAATATGTAATTAAATTATTTCACAACATCTTATATGAAATATATTATTATTAAGGTTTGGAGTTTTGGTGCAAAATTTTGTATGAATGGGTGCAGATGTCCAAAATCAATCAGTATTTCTTGTAACAAAGCATATCAGTAAATTAATAATTACAATATGTTAGATATATAATGTGAACATTATTAGAAAGTTTATTTTAATATAGCCAAAGTAATATTACATTCATCAGGGACCACTAATGGCCAAGTGGTTCCGTCCCTGAACACTGGGAGTTTGGTTGTGGGTTTGCACCTCACCTGGATGGGCTGGTCATGTGGAGTTTTCTGGGTTTTATCCACTTCTGTAATGCCTGAATAGGGGCCAGTTACACTTAAAAAGACCTCCCGGAAGACATTTCTCTTTGTGTAACATTGCATATCCAGAGAAGGCAATGGTGAACCACTCTGGTACTAATTTCCCCCAGGACCTCACTTGGCAAGCAAACTAATCCATACTAACCTGTGCCAGGTGTTTGCCGACATCAAGGTGACCTGATATGGCACATGAAGAAGAATATTCATCAAATCATCAGTCATTATCAGAAAATGCATTATTACTAGTTCCTTCAGTGCACCAGACAAAGTTATTGTATCAAATTACATTCAGTTTCTCTATGTTTTAAAACAAAAGTTTTTTTTTATCAATATATCCCTGTATGCTGAGAGAATGTATTCCATGTCCACTGATACGAGCAGCACAAACTTTGTCTTAGCTCTGTACTCTAAATCTGCATTTGAAAATACAACATTGTCTGGATTCTTCATAGGCTTTGTACCAACTTTTCCTTTGTAAAACCATCCAGGGAGTTGTTCACTTCTACACTATTCTATTGATCATTCATCTTTGGATAGATTTTTGGTTTCTAGCTTTTTTTTTTTTCTGTTAAAGATTTAAAGCTGTGGACAGTGAATAGTTTCATTTCCACATTCCTGTGCTCTACAATTTCTTTCACTTTCTTTGCAGCATCCATATCAGAATCAAGACTTAAAATGAATTCTGTTATCTTCCTGTAGTTCTCACAATAGAATCATCTGTCTCAATCATGCCTCCACCTACTGACTACATGCTCTGGTGGTAATGGTTCTGTGATTTCATGGTACAACTGAATTCTTGCTGGTAACTTCTATAACAGATTTTTCATTTAAAATTTAATAGTAAATTATTCACTTTAGTTATTTAGTTAAAATGAATAAAAATAACTATATTTTTAAAAATTAAAAAAAAAATTAAAATATAGAATACAGTATCCAATGATAGTTTCTTTTCTTGTTTAAGTAAAAGATTGGCGTGACATCCAACCTCCGAATTCGATTAACTTAGTCTCCAAACTAAAATACTCAATCAACACTGATTTCGGGGTAACAAATTACAACTTGAAACAGTTCACAATAAAAAAATTATACAGGGTGAAGTAGAAAGGACTGACGTTTTTTAAAAAATCACAACATCTGTAATTGTTACTACAAAAGATATTTGTTGGAAGATGTGAGTTCATATTGAAATAGCATTTTATAGAATCAAGTATGGAAAACAACATCTATATGCTGTCTGTTATCAGTGATGCATTTCTGGAGGCGATTTTGATGACTTCCATACAAACAGCTTCCTTCAGTTCTTGCAAAGAATGGGCTTATGCTTGTATACACTTGCCTTGAGGTGTCCCCACAAGAAATAATTGCACATGGATAGGTCAGGCAAACAAGGAGGCCAATGAATGTCACTGAACTGGAAATGAGGCGATCAGGGAAGAGATGATGATAATGTCAATGATGTTCTAGCTTTGTGGGCCCTTGCTCTATCCTGTTGAAATTGCATACATCTGATGGGAATACATTTCCATCAGATGTGTATGACTGAACACTACTGTTTCCTCAGTTTTATGCAAACACGCAGTGTTCTATCATCCACTGCTCTATGCCTTCAACTGAAAAGGCAATGCTAAGACCTCACTACTTTCGCGCTACCTGCCACAAATTTGTCATTCTACTTGGTGGTGAGTTCTAGCCATTTCAAAAACATCTGTCCTTTCTGCCCCACCCTGTATATTTATAAGAAAAAAGTAAAATAAATACTTTTTTATTGTGAACTATTTCAAGTCATAATTTACCACGGAATCGGCATTGATTGAGTATTTTAGCTCAGAGACTGTATTCTATATTTTAACCTTTTTTTAAACTTTTAGAAATATAATTATTTTTATAGATTTTTTTCATATTTTGAAATAAACTCAGTTGCAATAGAGTATTCGAGTCAGACATCTTCACCTACAACACACATAATGCAGTGCATGTGCAATGCATGTGGCATGTTTCTTGTTTAGGAATACAGATTTTAAATGCTGGAATGCCGCTACCATGTAAGATGCTTGATCAGATATTAACACCCAAACATTTTTGTACTTGATTCCAGAAGGCCACAACTTTGTGCATGCATCTGTAAAACTTTGCATAATATTTGAATGATTTGTTTTCTCCAGGTTGTAAAACTTAAGAAGCATTGATGGAACTGGATCTCCAGTTAGTGACTGAAAGTATATTAAGTACAGTACATATCTTTTTTTGTGGAGTCTGTTGTTTCATCCAGAAAAAAAATGCAATGCGTAGTCTGAAACAACAACTTGTACATTTGTATGGTTTCAACAAAACTTGTGCCCACAAATTCCTTACTTCTAGTATACTTTCATCTGGCATTTGTTGGAATGTATATTTTTCCAGAAATATCTTAAATGATGGGTGGTTTATTTTGTTGAGAGGAGTGTTTTCCTCCAGCCGTGTTTTCAATAAATCTTGATTAAACTGTTTTGTAGATTTTGCTTCGTCTACAGCTCTTTTGAAACTTCTTGCATTAAAACTTTGCTTGTGTGACTTGTCAAACTTTGTTCATCATACTAACATGTGCTTTAGATTCTTGATGTGACGATCAATTCTCATAGACAGATATTTTTCATCCACAGTCATTTTGCAAATCTTATGTCTTACAATGTTTCTGTCTGTTCATATTCCTTGATTATTAAATTTTATGGTAACTGAATGTAACTTACATGCAGAAACATCCCCCGTTTTAGATGAAATTTGTCCTGCATAAATTACTAACTTCTAGGATAACAAACTTAAGTGATTCTTCCAGAATGTTTGGCATGTGTAAATGGATTCTCCCTCTACTTGAAAAATGAATTTGTCTGAGAACTGACATTCTACTGTGATTGGTTGGGGATGGACAAATTTACATAATTACCATGGCAGTGTTGAATCTCTGAATTCAGCAAAATTATTGTTTTCACTCTACTTATGTTTTAAACTTTAAAATACTTAAAATATTGTAAAATGGGTATAGTTTGGATGCAAAGTAATAAACTTAGTGCAGGAGTGTGGTTTGGGTGCATTTGGGTCTTCTCTCCACTTACTATACCAAAATATGAATATCCTATGCCAGGGGTGGCGAACCTTTTTGAATCCACGTGCCATATAGTGAGTATAATTATCTTTAAAAATATTTATGCATGTGGAAGTTTTGACTTTGAATATTTAAAGAACTGAAACAAACATGATTTTATTGGAATAAATGTAAAGAAGCTGATTAAAAAATCAGCTTTTTTACATTTATTTGAATTAAAGGATGATCAGATGAAAAACCGAAAGAATTATTTAAAAAGATGGGTGAAAAATCATAATCATATGACACATTACGTGCTAGTTGATTCTCCCAACGTGCCACTTTTGATACGCATGTAATAGGTTCGCCACTCCTGTCCTATGCATTTCTAGTGTCAGTTCATCATACACCATCATTTTATGAAGTGGGTGCTTCACCCAAAATTTCAAACCTTAATAGAGTTTCCAGTGTATATAATAATTATCTGAACTTGATTGGACCAGGGGTTCCCGTCAAGTTAAGATGATCCAGAAACTTGTTTGTTTTTGTGTTTTTAAGTATATCAAGCATTGTGTTTAAATTTGATGAACAGTAAATACTGTAATGCAATTATTGTATTGGAGGTAAATTAATTTACTCAAAATCTAACATAATATTGCAGCAGAGAGAGGTGATACCATCGGTATGTAGATATTGGCTCCAAAACAAAAGTAATTATTTTCAGTAATAAATAACAGTGCCTCACACAAATCTACTTGAGGCATTGAGAGACTTTTTTCTAATAAGCATGGTGTTTAATAGCATTATGTGACTATGACGCCAAAATACTGTATAATAAAATAAAATGGAGAAGACACTGAGCATTATGGCCTCAAATTGCAATACTGAAGGGTAGAATGATACTACATCAATTTTGTAGAAGTGGTATTCTTGTGTGGGGAGTGATGGGTGCAGTTGTGGTAGAGAGAAATTACTTTCATTTTGATTGCAATATCTACATCCAAAAATGTAATAATATATATATTACATTTACTACAATTAGCAGATGTAGTGATTTTAGTTACATGTAAAGTTTGGTCTCTGTGTGTTAATTATTTTTTAACCATTTTGGATAATCAAGTTCGTACTGGAATTATCTCTCAAATATGGCTTTTTATATATGCAGTTGTGTGTGCACATGTTTGCATGTGTGTTATTGTTATTTTTTATTTACTTATAATTCACCTTAAGTTAAAAATAAATATTTTTTTCTCTTTACTCAATATTTGAATTTATTCTATTAGAATAGAATGTGTATTTTTAAGTATTTTGTACTATTTGAAGTAAAATTTTTTGTTTAAAGCTTTCTACTTTATATACATTATATATAAAAAACTAGACAACTTTATAAATAAGTTTTACTGTGAACAAAGTTCATAGATTTTGAATTAAAGATATTAAATCTCTCTGTCAATATTTTAAAATGAGTATTTAGTGTTAGTATATTAAGCATATAATAAATATAAGTATTTCAGTTATAATACAGTACTTTGGTAGATTGAAAAGATGATTCTGTTCTTTCTTGCCTTAGAATTTACTAACAACTTGATTTAAATTTAAATTTATTATTAATATAAAAACTAATGAAGTTGAAATTTTATTTTCAAATTTACATTTGCAAGATGTCGAAATTTTGCATAATATAATTTTGAGAATATTCAACTGAAAAAATAAGTACATAATATCTTTCATTATTATATTGTCACAAAGCAGATTTCTGTTGGCTTGCTCTTTGTTTGACTCAGTAGAAAGTTCTGGAACTGTTCTAGTACCAGAACTTTCTACTGGGCAAACTTTTTCTTTCATTTATTTATTTATTATTTTGTGTTCAATTACTTTTTAAAAGATTAACTACCTTTCTTACTTATTTGTTTCATTAATTCATTTAATAAACTTTTCCATGGATGAAGGTATAGTTTTTAGTGAAGATAATGTTGGGAAATCTATCTCTTCTAATAAAAAAGTTGTCACAGATATCTGGTATTTAATAAGTCTGCTTAAGTTTTTTCTCCATCTTCATGGTGTTCATTGGATCTTGGTTGTTTGTTGTATTCATTTATACTTGATTGCCTTTTGTTTTCATTGTATTATGAGTAAGCATACAATTGCTTGAGAGAATGGATCGTACAAGAACACATAATTAAGATGGATATACAGGCTTTTATTGATTCTTGTGGATATGCATTTCAGACATGTCTCTCATCGGTCCAGAACTTTTTTATATAAACTTTATTATATTGTGATATGTGGATGGATCAGAAACTAAAAATTACATTTGAAATTTGTAAAGATTTTCTTGGCTACATTCTTTGTTTTAATGACAATCAACTGAACATAAAAGTTCCAACTTTATCACATCTATTTAACATGGATTGTGAGATACACTATGTGTATCTAATGTTAAATTTTGCCTCCATACACAGTGAAAAGTATTTTTGATCAATGATGTGCAATGAAATTGTTGCTATTTAAACAAAGCAACACCAAAAATGTTTAAATTTTTAATATACTGATGTCTATGAAGTACACTTGTTACTAAATATTTGAATCACTGACAAGTGATTCAAATATGAAAACAAAGAATAATGGAAAATGAGTATTTACATTATTCTTCCATTTCATGCAAAAAAAATTGAATCAACATTGACTAATGTTGTGAAAGTAGGCTCATATACAGTGAACTCCCATATAATGCACTCCCCTGTAACATAAGTTTTGTATAACATGACAAAAAAATTGTGACTAGTACTCATACAAAATTCTGATTTTGTCATCTGGAGAAGAAAACAAGGTATAAGTTTTTTTCTCAACTTCTCAGGTATTTTTTCATTTCAGTATGCTTGGCTAAAACAGAAAATCCTTCTTATAAATTATAACAACAGTATATAATATTTTTAAAAATTTAGTTACCTATATTCTGTTTTGTTTTTTCTTTTATTAAAAGAAACTGTCTTTAAAACAAGTTAATTAACATTGCAAAATAAAATCATATTTGAAACTAATACACATTTCATTAGCAATATACAGTCAGTGCTGGAACTCAGAGACAAATTCAAATTATGCATTATCAGACAATTTTATGCAATCTCACATAACGTGATTTCCTATTATGCAGAATGTATGCCCTGTGCTGTATGGGAGTCTGCTGTATTCATGATTTTTCATATTATCATAGTGTTGATAGTGATGGTTTTTATTGCATGAAGAGGAAAGATATTTTGAGCATTGTTCATTCCTATTTTCATTAAATATTTTATGCCACTGAAATGTTGATGTTTATGAAGTATACTTGTCACTAAATGCAAGTCTTGTTTCAACAATATAAACTTTTCTGCTACTGTTTTGTTTTTAGATAGTAATAAAATTTTTATTTTGCACAATTATTAAAACTTTTTATGTTGTTTATGTAGGCAAAATTTAATACTAGCATACACAGCGACTCATAACAGACATTTTTTTCAACATTATAGATTTAATGCATGTCTGTGTTCATGTTTCGTGTGTATGTAATTTTGTTTATAATTGGACTTTATATTTCTAATTGTATATATAGAAATATATTTGATCTAAATATCTGTTCAACTGAATAATTAATAATGTAATATCATTGGTCTAGTTCATAAACCTCATATCTCCAAATTCCACATATTTGAGATTATTGTACCAGCATAGTCAAACTGGTGTAACACATCTGTATAGTCACAAATCTTGTGTTTCTGGTGCATTTGATTTTACAGAAGTAAAAATTCATTGCCATAAATACTATACTTCAAAAACCAGTTTTTGATGCTTCTTGTACAGAGGCATTTTGGAGATATGGAGAAGTTTGTGAACTAGGCTAAGATATATGAATTTTTTAGAACTAATAATATACAAATGTAATAGATAAATTAAAAAGTATATTACTACAACTAGGTTACCCTTTCTCCATATGCTGAAGAATTTGTACCTCGTTTAAACTATAGAGATCCCCAAGTCGAGGTAAAAATTCTATCATTTTTCTGTTTCTAAATTTATTATGAAATATCTTCTTTATATACTAAAATTACTTAAACCAATTTCTCTAACATTTTTTGTTTTTAATGATGTATTATATATATATAATTATTTATAAGATCTATGAAAAATTCGAATAGATTTATTTAAATTTTAATATTTATGAAGTAAAATATCTAAAATAGTTTTCCTAATCAAATTCAGTTTGACACACTAAAAACAACTCAAGTAATAATCTAATAATCATACTAATGCAGTGTTCTTAACCAGGGGGTCTGTGAGTTTGGAAGGGTAAAAATCAACTTATTTATTTTGTGTTATTGTGTGAAATTGTTTATTATATTAAGAAAGAAGCACATATATTACTATATATTTTTTTATTTTAATAAATATAATTTTATATAACTGGTTTCTTTTGTAATTTTATTTTATGTATTTAAAAACATTAATCCACAATGGGGTCTGTGAAAATGGTTTTATTTATTTTTTAACTTTTTCTGCCCTGAGAGCACTAAGAGAGCCTTTTTTAGAAAGCCCATTATGGGTTTGGCCAGGCCCACAATGGGGCATCCAGGTGGTGAGGGATGGGGTTTGACATATCTGGATGGACCATCCCCAAAAAATTCCTAGGGATTTGTTGATCAGTCCAGATTCAAACTGAGGTCCCCTGAACTGTAGGCTGCTACCTTGACCGCTCAGCTATCCATCCAAACAAAAAGGTTAAGAACATTATACTAATGTAATAAATGAGTTAGTAAAACACTTTGAACTTTTCAGTATGTCAGGTTATTTAATTTTCTAAATTTTCTTTTAAAAAATAGTTAAATATTGAAAAATTGTTTTTACTTATTTTATCCTTTTTTTAAATTAATGTGTTCTTTTTATAAAATACTCTTCATCAGATATCTCTTTTCATAAGTTAAAGTCCCTCTTATATATTAAGTAGAAGACTCTGAAGCTTGAAAAATATATTTGATTTAATAGATTTAGTTTGGAAAAATGTACTATAAATCAAATTATTACTTAAACAAGAAATAGTGTATTGTCTAGTTCCTTGTATGCTATGATACAAAACTAATGAAAACATATGAAAATTTTATGTAGTGGAAGATACATCTAGGTTTTAATATTCATAATTATTCAATTTTAATACTGCATCAAATACAGGTCAGTTAAAAACACATGCACAGAAAAATTATATCTAAATATCGGTGGCATGCTGTTCATGGAAGCTGTGGAAGTGCCGCTTCCCTTATATTTTCTAAAATATAAGTACATATTGTGTGATAATTTTCATATTTTAATGTACTTTGAATTAATTAAAATTAATATTTTATTATAACTGCATTATGTATCTTATTACAAATTTTTATACTACATGTGAAAAACAATGATAAGATTGCTAATGCATATTCAAATATAAATTCGTATATGCATATTCTCAATGGAAGCACTGTATTGTCGAATACGGGATAGCTTCCATGGCAAAAATATTTGAATTGTGTAAAGCAGATAGATTATATGTATTTGTGCATGCACTTTACAGAGCACCAACCTCACTCGGTTTAGCTCATGGATGCTACACACCAAAATATCGTATAATGCTTCCAATAATTCTATCCAGGGCCAGCACAGCTTTCCCATTATCAAATGTCATCGCATGCCACTGCTAAATATGCTTATTTTGAATAAAAATTCAAAAACAGAAGTGTTAATGATTAACCATGTTTTGGTCACTGTAAAAAAGAATAAACAACTATTATAATTTATTACATGATCTCTAGGTTTTGTGTTTAAAAGTAGGTGTGGGTTATCCTGTTTATTTTAACTTAGCAATTTCATAATTCATAAAATAGCTGTTTCTTTGTTCTAAACTCCCAAAAACTCTCCAAAAACATCTAGAAAACATAAAAAAGCTTTACACACACTGTTTATTTATTTGACATAACAATTTTTACCTAGATCTCCACAAGTATATATGTGTATGCCTTACCTTTAACTCCTATCTATTTTCCATTATTTTTGTCTATTATTAGATATTTCTACTTGAACTTGTATCTTGGAAGTTGATAGAGGGAGAATTGTCGAAAAATACTTATCTATATAATCAAAGAACTCTGTCTATCAAAGAATTATTTAAAGGCTCTGTTTTAAGTTAGATTAGATTATATTTTAAGATAGTTTAAGTTTCCCATGAAAAAATTTTAGTGGTCAACCCACAATGTTAGTGGCTGCTATTGCAAGTTTTTCTTAATGAATCTTAAATTAAAACAAAATAATACTCATACTATATAATACTAATCTGCTATATGATTAGCTATAATAAAATAATAAATAATTTAAATTTATATTAACTAGTTGGAGAAATTTTTTTAGCCAGTTAATCACTAGCTAAAACCAACACTGTATATGTCTATCATCATAACCCTTTAGAATAAGCTAAGTAAGAGATAATAATAAATTATTTTTGAATTCAGACAATGCACAAATAACAATATGAAACAACAAAACATCTACAAATTCAGGAAGCCATGCTCAACACAAGAGATTTTTAGTTATTGATGTGTTATCAGTTATTTAAATAGATATAGTATTTTGTATTATTCTTTTAAAACTAAAATGTAAAACTAATCTAATTTATATTTATCGATATAGTTCAGCATAATAATTAAACAAGGACATTGTAATTTCTATATTAATAGTTGGATAATCCATCCAACTATTAATGGATTCATGTTCTAGGTTAACTGTTATCTATAAAATATTTTTATAGGAATATATTTAAGTGGAATTTTGTATAATATAATATAGAAAACAATAGTTTGTAGAAAGGTGATTGGTTCCTTAATTAATTTGATTCATTAATTTAAAATAAATTGTATCATTATCCAAAATATTAGAAATTAATATTTAGTTACTATATTTTTCTAATAATTTTTTTCAAGGGAGTATTATAAAAATAAATAAATTTGGAAGGGGAAAAAACTAATTTTACAAAATAGTTTAACTCATAAAATGACAGCTGAGAAAAAATAAAGTAAAAACTATAAAGTAGAAGGTTTTTGCAAATAATAATTACTTCAAATATTATGAATGTAGCATTAAGATTTTAAAAAAGTGAAATTAATAATAATATATTCAGAATTTTATCTTTTTATATTGATTTTTATTACTATGTCAACATTATAAAATTAAACAATTGAAATCTTGATAAATTTTAGTTTAGTTTCAACTGGTAAAATACTTTGAATTGATAAAACATAATTTAAATACTATAAACTTTGCTTTTCCTCTATACAAGTTTTTACATATTAGATTTTATTTCAGTACTATATTTTGGATTATAAAATATATTAGATTACACACTAATAAACAATATATATTCACTAATCAGTAGCTTATTTCATAAATCTTATTATAAATGAATTTGTCAATTATTACTACTTAAAGAGTTTTATCTTATTGTTTATTTCTATCATGATAAATTGTAGTGTGATGAATATGTGTTTTAAGAATTTTTATCTTATGTTCTTGTTTTAAAGAAATAATGTTTAGATGTTTACCAAAAAGTTTAGTAAAAAATTGGTGGTTTTGTTTCTTAAAACAAATCTGAACTTGATGAAATGCTGGTGCTTTTTATACTTCTGTGACAAAATATACAGTATCTGGCCTTATTGTAACTAAGAAAAAATGTGAAAAAAATTAATATTGTCTGATGTATTTCATAAATTGTTATAAAATAACTTTAAAAAATTAAAATAAATCCTTAAAATTCTGTTTTTTTATTGTGTCGATTTATTTCAATTGTCACTTTCCATAATTTTATAATAAATATATTATTTTACAGCAGGAAGAATTTGATCTTCTAGATGAAAGTTATCCAATACAAGAATTAAAAAATTTTTTATTTCAAGTAACACTCTGTCCAGAAAAATTTGATCGACAATTAAAATTTTTGACTAATGTTCTTAATCAATGGTTAACTGATGAAGAAACTTTACATTCAATTGTAAATATTATTTTTGAAGAGGTAATTTGGCACAATTTTATTTTGTTTTATCAATCAGTTTAATTTATCAATAAGTAAATTTTTAACACAAGTAAAATAAGTAAATTATCAAGATGCAATTTTAAAGATTTATCTTTAAAAAATTAAATATTTAATTAATATATTATACTGTTTTAATGTAATATAGTAATTTAGTATTTAATAAATTGATTTATTTTTTATGAATTTTATTGTAATAAAATATATTTAATTGTATTAAATTATTATTTTAGTTACTTACTAAAGAATGTAATATAGTAGGGTCTTGTTTTATATGGATTTTTATATAGATTTTTTTTATGGATGCCAAAAGGTTAGGTTAGGTTAATTAACTCACTCCTAATGAATGTCACTGAATCTGAATCTTAAGTCAACAGTTTTTTGGAATGTCAGAAGCTTCTCACTCCATTCACTTCTCATGCTATTCATAGTGGTGGATAACCTGGTTTGTATGTATTTTTTATCAAGTAGTGCACTTGATATAGTATAATAAAATTTTGTTCCATATATTCAGAAATATTAGACTAAAATTTATTATATTAAAAACATAAAATGTGTTTAAAACAAAACATTTCACTTATTTTCATTTAACATTTTTCTGTTAATTGTAAATGATTGTGTAAGGTCTAGGCAATAATCTGGGGCTATTTAGAATGGAGCATAAATTTATGCAGAATTTTGTTTCATACAGTACCTGCTGATATTTAGTTCCCATGTACAGTACAACAAGACCACACTATATTTTTCATAAATAGTGATAAGTATTATATTCTGATAAAATTACTTAAATATTGGCTAAAGATGCTAGACTGTTAAATTAAAGTTGATTTATATTTTTTTTATCAATGTTTTATGATATGTTATTCACATACAGTAGAGCCTCGATTATCTGACCCAATTGGGGACTGGGGTTGGTCGGATAATTGAAAAGTCGGATAACCGAAAAGTATGAAAAAATCCATTATTAGTGTAGTATATTATTATATCCCATGTAATTAGTATATTAGTATATCGCTATTAACCTACTTTGCGTTGAATTTTCATTGATGTTAAGCCTAACAAAAATTTTTTAAAATAATAATTGTCGCTATTGTATCGTTAAAAATTAGAAAATTAAGCCTCGTTTAAATACTGGCTCCCTTTCGTGGTCGAATGAGTGTTGCCAGCTAAAACACGTAAAAATAATATTAAAGTAGCCAAGACAGCCAAATATTGTAGTGCCACGTCACTACCGGACATTTGAAATTTGCTGACTAGGACGGTTGGTTAACCGAGGTGTCGGTTAATCGGGGGTTGGATAATCAAGGCTCTACTGTACTCATTGACAGAAAGTAATGCACCAAGAGGTGACATTGGAATTAAATGAAACTCTATTAGTGTAAATGTATCAAGGTAATAACAGATTAAAATATCAAAGGAACAATTTTCTATGGAACAATGGTATAATTTAAAGCCTTGTACTAATTCAGTGGTTCTTAACCTTTTAGTGATGAGGGACCATTTATCAAAATTTTTGTCTTGCCATGGACTACGAGTTGTTTGGCAGTAATATAGGTTTTTATAAGGTTGTTCTATAAATTAAACACATAGAAAATTATTCGGAACCAAGAGTATTATATTATTTGTGAAAGTGTTACATTAATTATATTATTTTAGTGCGATTTTTGTGACTGCATACTGTTTACCAACTGCTGAATTCTTGGTTCGGTGCTACTCAAAGCAAATGCATGTCGGCACTGGCATCCAACCAATTTCGATGTTTATTTTTAACTATCAAAAGCACTGAGAATCCTTGCTCGCATAAATATGTGGTTGAAAATAAAGTTAGGTACTGTAAAGCAATTTCTCAAATTTTAGGGAAAGCAATAGCTTTTTGGCTCCAAAAATCTTTAAGATACATTCCTGTCTCGAATGTATCCTTGCAGTTACTATCATGTTGCATTTCAATTAACTCTTCTTGCATTTCATCCGGCACCTCAGAAATGTTGATTATGAAAGAATTGCAAATCAGTTTCCGTATACCTTTGTCCTTGCAGTCAGGAAAATAGCGATTGAATTCATTTTTTAAGCTTTGCAAATGGAATGTAATGTTCTTTTGTATTTGTCCTTTAATCTCAGCACACTGTCAATGAATTGGGTTCAATGTATCAAACACAGAAAAATTTTCTCTTTTGACTTTGCTGATCCATAGGTCGATTTTAGTGATAAATGCACTGATTTTATCTTCAAATGCAAATTTATTGCTAGTGCCTTCCAATTTCATATTTTCTGATCACGCACCATACCCCAGCCCAGTCCACTATCGGCTCTAACCTTGACATACTGCACATTGTCATCAACTCGTTGTCATTTATTTAATAATTTTGGGATAACTTCACGAACCACTTTGGGTGCTTTCAGGGACCACTAGTGGTCCACGGACCACAGGTTAAGAACCATGGTACTAAATGATACATCTTACCCAGATACATATGGTCAGGCATACAGGCACAACACGCTGTCCTGTGACAAATTTGCCTACCAATGTTATAACTGCCACTCTATATTCTTCATTTGTAGATGGTCAAAGCTGGTCCCACAAATGTGAAGATTGGGTTGGACAAGTGTGGCAACATTTCTGGAAGACAGTGGAGGAAACATTAGAGGCATTTCTGGGAAGCCTTAGCTGTTTGAGCCATGCATTATTTTATTGGAAATTGTATGTTTTCAGCCCTACTCTTCACAAAATCCTGCCATGAAGATGCAGGATTTCTTTGAGAGACATTGAAACAGTAATACTGAAGTATTGCTGTCTCAATGTCTCTCAAAAACATAGTAGTCTTCATACTACTAGAGTTGACTGACTGATTCATTTGAAGATCATTGGTCAGTGCTTCAATCCCACCTTTACTGCTGAATGGCACACTGCTCCTTTTTCTGGCATGCTGATCTGGGGATGGGGAATGCCTCTCATAACACTACTAGGGACTACCAACTATTATGATAGTTGGTTGTCTCTAGTAGTGTTATGAGGGACATTAATGGCACAATGGATATATTTATGAAATCCTGAACTATCAAGTTGTGTTTTTTATGGGGGAACTACAAACAGCCATTTTTTAGCAAAATAATGCTTGTTGTACACAACTAGGATTTTTTTAAGAATGTTTCCATTAATTGCTAGACTTCCTTGGCCTCATTGCCAGATTTGTCATTCATTGAACATTTGTGGGCTAAATGGGATGCCAGATTCAGCTGTCTATGAATGATGAATCTGTTGCAGGACCATATATGGTTCCTTTAAGCTTCCACACCTGATTATCCAAATATTTCTACTACAGAATGCTTTTAATATTTTATATGATAAATTAGCTAAAAACCTGAAATTAAAAATTTTTTATCATATTTTAAATAGTGTATTTCTTGTAATAATCATTTACTTAGTGATTATTACAAGAACAAGAGAATTAATAACAACTTCTTTAATATCAAAGCTACATACTGTTTGTTTTTTGTGAGTGATATATATTTGTTAACTTTATAATTGTTCAGTTTGAATTTATTATTTTATGTACTTATTTGAATTAAATTATCATTTATATATTCCATTAATATGAAAAATATATTTAACATTTTCTTTTTGTAGTCAGTGCATGAGCCAAATTTTCGGTATAATGGGGCCAAGTTATGTAATCATTTATCACAACATCTTATAAGTCCATCAGATGTTCCGAAATTTAGAAGTGTTCTGCTGAGAAGGTAAATTAATAATAATAAAATAAATGCTTTTTTTTTAAATTTTTAAAATGAAAATTTAATATATTATGGTAGATTTTTTTTTATTTTTTTCATTCTAAAAAATGACTTCATATTGTAGCTGATACTAAAAAAATTATTTATTTTTATTGTATACAAGCTTTTGTTTCCTTTTCTAGGGTGAATATATGAGTTAAAAATATCCAAATTTAACATAATTAATTTAACACAAAAGTAATATAAATTTTGTTAACAAATTATAGTTTTAAAACTATGTTATGGAAATTTGATTACAGAATGTTTCTTATCAATCTGCGTGTTCCTTCTCAATTCGAGTGTTCAAATTGGATTAAGTCACAATATTATTATTATTATTCTCTTGTCTAAATTCATTCAATTAACTCATTCAAAAAATAAATTAATTAAAGGTTCTTTGCCTTCATTGCAAAAATACAATTTAAATAAATAATAATAAATGAATAAATAATACAATTTATTCATTAAATTTGTTCAATATTAGTTGAAAAAGCATTTTTGACTAGAAAATTTACTTTATTATGAACAATACTAGATGCTCAGTTGATAGACAGCAATCAATTTCATAATCACAGAATGAGTATAAAGTTGTATACTGTTTATGGCACTTTTGAGTATAATGTCAAGGCATCCCTAGTGTCCCAATCAGAATGCTGGTAACATACTATATCAATAAAAGGATTTGAACTGCAAGGTTGCAATGGAGTGGTGTTGTGTTCATCACAGAGTCATAGTGTTTGTTTATGTTAATCATCTGTATTCATATAAAATATAAGAAAAATGAAGATCACAGAGCTATCAGAGTATGGAGGGTAAATGGAAAAATAGATTTGAGTTAAAGGTACTGGAAATTTTGACTTACCGTGACTGTACTACAAATGAATTTTTCTATCTCATACTTGTTTATCTTGAAAACCTCTTTATCTCAAAATTAATTTTTTCCTCTGCATTTATTTTCCATGTTTATCTCAAATTATTTTCTCCCAAAACTCCTATATTTCAAATTATGGAATGAAGTGTCAATACAAATTGTATGCTTAGCGACTATATTTTGATAGTATAAATTGCAGTTGAGAAACATCACTTGCAATACAGTACATAGTTGCGATTACTTCAGCTTTTCTCTGGATACAAATTTGGCTTGCATCTTATTGGTTGAAGAAAGTCAGGTATCAGAGACTTTTCACAAACTATTTCTGTTAAGGTATGCCAAAAATTTTTTATTTATACCCAATACAGGTATGTACTGTACTTGTTATTGTATTAATACAATACTATACTTCCAATCAAACCTATTACTTTTTACTGTGTAGGAACCTCTGTATCTCAACCTGTTGATATCTTAATATATCAACCATTTAATCCATAGATTATAGTAAGAAATCTGTTTGCATAATATAAAATTTAATATTAAAATATTTCATAGATAAATTGTTGAAAATCACTTTTAAATAAATGTCGTTTTACTGTATATATATGTTAAAATTTTAATTTAGCAGTGCTGTTTGTATGCTTCTGAAATTAGTAATAAATGAATTATGGCATTAAACTGGAATATTTCAAACAATAAAAATTGTATATAGTAATGAGATTTACAAACAAATATGAATTTGATTGTTTGAAAGCGTCATGATTTTTGTGATGATGATGATAATGTCTGCAATGCAAAATTTTACATTTAATAACTCACAGATAATGAAAGATTATTCATTTATCTATTTAATATTTAGAAGGAATGATACTATTTAGGCTGCTGTATTGAGGTTTGAACTGCAGTTAGTAAGTAAAAGAAAGTAAAAATAGTAAGTAAAACTTAAATGTCTTCATTCAAGAACTGAAATTTCAAATTTTTAAATTGGTGCTATAACTACACATCTCTTCAAATAGATTGTAAAATTATCTTAAGCTCTAGAAATGTTAAATTTGTAGAAATCTTTTATTATTATTCTGAGTTTCACATTAAACTTATTACACTTCTAATATTCTAAACAAATAAAATAATAAGCATTTTTGTATTATGAGCTGTATAATTTTTAGTTTAATGCAAAAAGTAAATTTTAAATACTTTTCACAATAATTGAATTAAATATTTTGCAATAAAATTTATTATATCTTAACATAAAACATAAATTAATAATTCAATTTTATTATATATCCAATTAGCAATTTATAGGTATAAGTATTTTTTGTTCAATAAACCTGACTGAGGTCTTTATATGATATAGAAAGAATTGAGTGAGTTGACAATTACATTTATTCCCTAGATATTTATCCCTCCTCTTTAAATATTAAGAGGAATAACTTTTACTTACTTTTATTTCTAAATTATTCTATCTTATAAAACATAATTCAACCTCTTTATGATAAACAAGTAAATATTTAGGATGTGAATATTTTGTTCATAAAGCAACCTGTTATATATAACATGTGATAATGATCATAGTGAAAATATTATTTTTATTTAATATAAAATATAATTTAAGAAATGTTATAACTATAATATAGTTGACCCCCTATAAGACGATAGATACGTTCCATTCTTTATGAATTGATTTCTTACGAGTCCATGCCAATCACAGCCCGACACGTGTGAAGTTTACGGACTATGACTGTTTGAAAGGTTTTCTTCCATAAAATTAATCGATTCTAGACTAATCCAACTCAACATTTCCAAAATACGTATGTATTTTTTGGGAATAATCTGTATAAACTACACTATAAACAAAAAATTGTAAGATTACTTACCGAGTGTGCACCATTCGACATCGCCATTGCTCAAGCTTGTTTTCGTCACGGAGCAGCACACCAAACCGCACCCGATTTCTGATAACTTATTTTTATGCGAAAACTTCATTGAACTTTGGCGACATCATTAATATAAATAATTTTTATGGCCGTTGAATAAGAAATGTTTCTTTCACAAGAAATGTATAAAATTACAGTACTGTATTAGACTTACGGTACCTAATTTACATACTGTACAGACGATAGTAAACAACTTACTTGCCTAAACTCTCCGTAGCATGGCGCTAGACGGCAGAAAGTATATATATAATTATAATAAAGTTACAATAAATTAAGTTAATATATAATTATATGTACAGTACCTAATTTATATATAATAATGTACAGATGATAGTAATCTCTCCGTAGCGTGGCGCTGGACGGCGGAAAGTAGTTCGGCTGCCCAATGACGTTTTACATAATTATAGGAGTTTTTTTACCGTTTTATACGGATACCATCGCAATTTTTTCGCCGTCTTATAGGAATTGTAATTACAGGAACCCGTTTTATAGGAGGTCTACTGTAATATTACCAGAGGCTCAGTAACATAATCTTTGTTCATTTTTAAGTTCAATCAATTTTGCTTGAAGATCATTGAATATAATTGTTTTGAATATAAATAATTAACAAGCCTTGCCTGTTGTAAAAATTTTTCACAATGTTTTTTTGTACAGTATAATTTCATTTGCATGCAAAAATGGTTTGTCTGTTTTCAAGTAGTTCCAGTTTCCAGAAATAAATTGATTATCTAGTACACGATTAAAAAACTAATTTTTTCAAATTATTTCAAATGTCACTTTAACCTAGAACATTCTATTTATAACTAACATTTTTTTTTTTAAATATAAGAAGAGTTTATGACAATTGAAGGTTAAGAACTTCAGAAAACTTTAAATATTTTACACCAATAAGAAAGGGGACTGTATCAACAATAATGATGACGACACATTTTCCCTAGCATGGCAACACTTAATTGACAATCCCTAAAAGATGGCCATACTAAAAAATAGCTAATTGAATAATATACATATACTAGAAGAAACCCATCAAATCAGTATAAGTGTTTTCTGGGTCCATTCGCAGGCAATTAGCATCTTCCTGTTCCAGTACCATGAGGCTTCTTTCAATTTTGCATTGGATCCCAGAGTGGCAGTTTAACATTCTTAAGGCAAACTGACTTTAACTTGGTGGGATTTTGGATTTATGGTGACGATAGTGGTGGCTCACCTCATAGTGATCACCTTGTCTGAGTTTCACAAATAAAGCTCTTAGACTTACCAACGGTTGGATGTATTCAAGTTTAGTATTTTTTTTTTCTTTTTGTTAGGTTTGTCAAAAAACCCATCAATCAATACTAAGTAACAAATTGGACAGTTATAATCACATTTTTGTCTTGTCATAGAGTAACAGTAAAATAAAATCAAAGATTGACACTGCAGTCAATATTGACAAAACTGATTTATTTGAAAAACTTTTATTGTCTTTTTTAGTGTTGAAAAGTACAGTACATGTGTTTATTTACTAATACATACTTTTTACTAAAATTGCCTCACATCACATAATGAATCATTGTTGATGTGCTATTTAAATTATATTTCAATGTGCATGTGGGAAAGATATTATTTCCATTTTTTCTGTACACACTAATCAAATGAATAAAAAATGCATTAATTGAATTTTAGTGTAATACAAATGGCATTCAAGAATTTGTGTTTAAATATGCTCAAGTTAAATTAAATGACAAAAATTTATTACTATAATAATAATAATAATAATAATAATAATAATAATAATAATAATAAACATAATAATAAAAATGATAATAACAACTCTCCCGTGGTCACCACCTGGTCGTGGTGGGAGAGCCCAGTAATTTTACTGAACCATAGAGCAATGCAGGCTGGAGCACAAGCTCCTGGTAGGGACACCCATGCCAGTAAGGTCTATGGGGAGANAGAAGGCCACTATATTGAATACATGCCACATTGTTAGGAAATTCCTGAATACAGACACACACACTGACACACTTATTTAATTTTAGTTTTGTTTTGGTTGCTATGCCTTGACTCTGGTCTGGCATAGTACACAGCCACCAGTGTGAACCAAGAAAAAAATAATTTAAAATTAAAAAATAATGATAATATATACAGTGGGTGATCAGTTAACGAACAAATCAGATAAT